TTAGAACTACCAAATCCTATATATTGGTTGCTAAAAATTCTGGAAGGATCCCTTAGGCATTCTGCCTTAGCTCCCACATAGAGAAAACAGATAGAATAATGCAGATTATTCTCACAAGTTATTTTGGATGAATTAACCATGTTGATATTTTAAGATATTTTAAAGTATGCCATACAGATTGTAGTATGTTGCCATTATTAACTAATACAATTACTTCTTTTTTACATGCAGGAGGAATTTTTTTCTTTTATATTTTTCCTTTTTTCAGAAGTAAATTTAATTTCCTATAAAGTATGTTTAAAATGTAGTATAAAGTAAAGAAATTACATTTCAGTTGACTTTCCATATCTGTGATTATGCATCTTTGGGTTCAACTGACCACCGATGGAAAATATTCAGAAATAAATTACTTATTCAATGAAGAATCACAGGTATTTTTGTCACAATTCCCTAAAAATAGTGTAGCAAACATTTACATAACATTTTCATTATGCTAGGTATTATAAGTAATGTAGGAATGACTTAAAATACACAGGGGGATGTATATAGGATATATATATATGTATTGATATATATATATATATGTATTGATATATATATATGTATATATATATATATATATATATACTACCTTATAATAGGAATCTGTATTTTTGATGACTTTGATATTCAGGAAGTGGGATGATCCTATATATTCCCTCTACACTTTCTGATGCCTCAAAAGCCAACAGGGGTTTCTAGACAGACCTTTTCCTATTAATCACTTCCACATCACCATTTCTCATCTCAAACCACATATTATCTAGGGACTGACCAATAGTTAGACACAAAAGTAGTTTGTTTTCCACACTTTTACTGAAAAATAAATAGAAACCTATACTCATTTAATTGGGAAGTAGCATGAGGTTTACAAGTAAATTATGATCTGTATTCATTTAATGCAACATGGGACACATGAGGCCAGGGAGACTGATTCCCCGCCTAGAGCACAATGGTCTTTAGAAGTGAGTCTGGGACTATGATCCAGCCTGGCAGAGTATCCCTGAAAACTTGCCACATACCCTCACACGGCCACCAGACAATTTGCAGGTGCACTGGAGCACTATTTGGCTTACCAAAATTCTCTCAAATAGCCATTCTAAATCTTCCAACTTGGGAGTATTACTAATTCGTATTCCATGCTAGTCAGGAGCTATAAATAACCTTTAGTGTGCTTTAGTTCTAAAAGGCAATAGGATGACATGGAGAAGATTATGGGCTCCCTTAACATGTACTTATCTTACCTCCACAAAATGAAAGAAGAAATATGTCTGCACTGATCTGTATCTAACACTGGCACAGGTCCAACTGCTTCCATAAACTTCTTGAAATCATCTCTTTTTACAACATCATTCAGTAATTTTATGTATAAATGATAGTGCTGAGTCAGTATCAAAGATCTAATTAAGTTCTAATTCTCTATTTTAAAAAAGAATGTAAAATAAAAACTATTTCTGAAAAGACGACCAGAAAACTGTTTTTTTAAGATTGATGGCTGTTTAATAACTTTTTCAACTTCCGAACAAACACTTCGTTTAGTTGCCTAATGTGTGAAATAAAAATTGTCCATCCTTCTCAAATAAGCTCTTCCTAGTCTGATTCCTGTTTTCCAAGACTGAAGAAAAGAATGTTCTGCAAGAAATACACAATTTGTCCTTTACATTTCTATTTCCTGTGTGTTTTCTGGTGCTTATTATGCACCCGGATTTCTGCTGATACATCTCCAATGCCTCCTTATCTGCACCTCCTCTTTCCCACTGCTACTACTCAGCTACAAACAGGTCTCTCTTCCTATACCAAGCGCATGCTTGGCTGGCACACCCCTATTTTTAAGATAAAAAATAATGTTAATGTAAAACATTAAACTGCAATGGGCTAGGTGTTAGCATGTCTCTCACTCTCCAAGTTCTTAGGATGCACTACTAAACACTCAGGTAGTGCACTTACTAGCATGTGGGGCCACCATGAGGTTGAAGATAGAGGTCAGGAATGGTAATATTCCCTAGAAGGCTGGGGATGCAGCCCAGTGGTGAACAGCTGTCTACTGTATGTAATGTCTTTAGGCTAATTCCTTGCAGTGCAAAAAAAAAAAAAAAAAAGAAACAAATTCTCCAGAGCTATCCCTCATCCCTCACCGCTGTGAAGTTAGGGGAGAAGACAGACTTCTTTTTTTGATTGTGAAAATACCGTACAGATAACATGGGCAAGATAATGAGTCCATATCGTATCAAGCATTGTTGCCTCCTCCTTTGTTCCCCCTTCCCATCCCATCCTCCCCCCCCCACCAAAGTTGTAAAGTTCGTTTTTGACATAACGACTTGTACATCTCATTGTTGCAATGGCTCCACCTGTATCCCTATTTAAACTATTTGTTTTTGCCCTTCCTCTCAACAAATTATACCAACATCAAATACAGTGAGAGCAGGGGAGAAGATAGAATTTTATAAGCAAATTCCTTTCCCAGCAACCATGGCTAAATTGCCGTAGTGTTGGACTGCCCTGCATCCAAAACCAGGGAAAATAATTTCCTGTTGTAAACTAGGTACCCTCTGTCTATAGTATTTTGCTGCAGGAGTCTGGATAGACCTCTTCTAAGTCTTACAAATAAAGGCAACATCGTGTTATTTTATAATTCCAATACTAGGAAAGTACATTTGGCTTGCATCATTCTGAGATTTAAGACTGAGCATAAAAGCTCTAAGCGAGGAAAACTACATTTTGGTGCTTGTGGAAAATGCTGTCATAGTTTTGCTGAATCAGGTTATAACATGTTTTGTGACCAATCTAGATGACTCTCTGCAACAAATGACAAAGTGATCATTGAACACTGATGCTATCCATCAAAACATATTTCCACTTTAGTCAAGCTGCAACTCAACTGATTCTAGAAATGAAGCAGAGAAAGTTGATTTATTCTGAGTTTTCACTGAAGATCAGCAAATCAATCCCATGTTCATCAAAAAACTGATGGATGTATGAAGTTATCTTACCTGAATAATTATAGATTAAAGCTAAAAATACATAAAAAGTATACAAACTGTAGAAATACATAAAAAGCAAGTCACTCCCAAAATGCTTTATCTTAATTATTTCTGTAAGTTAAACACTATTGTGGCAGGGGATACTGGCTCACATATTTAATCCCAGACACCTAGGAAATGGAGATAAGGAGGATGGTGATTCAAGACCAGCCTAAAAAGTTCTTAACAAGATTCCATTTCAGGGGATGGGAAGATGGCTCAGTGGTAGACTGCTTGCCTCGCCTTAATGAGGCACTGGGTTCAATTCCTCAGCATCACATAAACAGAAAAAGCCAAAACTGGCACTGTGGCTCAAGTGGTAGAGCACTAGCCTTGAGCTGAAGAGCTGAGGGACAGCGCCCAGACCCAGAGTTCAAGCTCCATGAACCACAACAACAACAAAACATTCCATTTCAACAAAATGAGCCAGGTGTGGTGGCATGCATCTGTGAATCCAACTAATATGGGAGTATTAAGTAGAAGAGTCATCTATTGGGTCGCCTGGAATAATTTTGAACTCAGAAGAAAAAAGACATATGTATGGTTCACGTAATGCAGACTAACAAATATGTACCAGAGTAAAAAAAAAATTTAAAAATCATGAAATTCTTAGGCCTGTTCTGAAAATAAAGTTACTCAAAATTTCCCTGAACAAGAACAAGTTATCCAAAGTACTATCTAAAAATTAATTTTCAGATATGCTCTACATGTTTCCTTAAATTCAATACAACTTTAATGAAATGTATTAGATTTCTTTGACAAAAAGTCATGTCAAAATACTTATAACATTAAAAGAATATTAAAGGCAGGCACCAGTGTTTCACTCCTATACTCCTAACTACTTAGGAAGTTGAGATCTGAGGATTTCAGCTTGAAACCAGCCAAAGCAGGAAGCCTGTAATTGCAGTTCAAAAACAGCCCCAGAAGAAAAGTCATGAGACTCTTGTCTCCAATTAACCACAAGAAAGCCAGAAGTAGATCTGTGGCTCAAGTGGTAGAGGTCTAGCCTAGAGCCAAAAGACTCATGGACAGTGTCCAGGCCCTGCTTTCAAGCCCAAGAACTGGCATGTGTGTGCGCGTGTGTATGCACACATACATAATATTACGGTCATTAAAATGACATCTCAACCCGTAACTTAATTAAGATTCACTTTTCAAAAAGTTGCTAATATTTCAACAAGGATCTTTTGTTTTAAACATGCACACATAAATGCAGAAAACTTGCAATAAGCAGAGAATCTGTCACTTCAATGACAATAAAACTAATTTTGAGTACTCTTAAGAGATTAGGAAACCCATTTACAAAAATATTTTAAAAGTATAAATACATTTTGGATCTCAAAGTCATTCAAAAAGGAAGCATAGAGAAAATTATGTGGAATCATTTTTTCAGAAAATGAGTCTCTATGCCTTTACTTGATAAATCACCATTATTATGTTTCCTTAGGATTCACTGTTATCTAGACATTGAAAGAAGCCTATGAGGAAAAAATTACTGAGACAGAATGACTTTATAAAATACTTAAAATTATATTTTTGTCCTTAACAGATTGCTACCTGCAGCTTGAATCTAGTCTTAAATATGTATTATTTTAAGTTAGAGATCTTTACTGTGTGCTTCAACCACAATCTCCCTCATTGTAGGACTTTTCCTATGTGTGTTATTTGTTTTTTGAAAGATTTTGGCTTCTGGAAGTCTAGGTTGTACTTTCTGTCAAATTTGAATGTTCGCTCAGAACACTGGAATGATGGTGACTGAAACGTACCAGAGGCTTGTTAGTCCTTATTTTTTCCACAAGGAAAAAAACAAGGAAAGGAAAGTAGCTTCCTTTTGACTGAATTTATATTAAGAGATCTGTCAAAATGCTCTTCTAATCAATAAGGCAAAAATTACTCTCGAGGTTGTCAGGATTAGCCACTACTTGTCCTGTGAGTACTCACCCCTCAGTGCAGGCAGCAGGGATCTCTCCTTCTTGTCATCACATTTGTTACACTCACTGAAGTACAGGAGTAAGAAGACATCCACAAGGACCCACATCAAAGAAGTGGCTAGAACCACCTTGCAGTAGACAAATCTCCTCATGTCTTTGCTTGATCTTTAGTCAACACTCAGATCGAAGACGAAAGCTACTGTGATAAATCCAAGCCACAGAAGTGAACTCCAGGATAAAAGTAGGATGCATCCCACTGCATTAAAAAAGAAATATTGTATTATTACCACTAGTACTATTATTATTATATTATTATGTAGGACTTTTGCATAAAACAGAGCATAAAATATATAACTTATTTCATGCTCCAAAATATGTCAACATTCAGATCATTATAACTATTATTAAACCCCTTAAAATGAAGCCTGTGACAAGCCAGGCTAAAATTCTAGTATCTATGATTTTTATTTTGGTCGGTCATGGGGCTTGAACTCTGGGCCTGGGCACTATCCTTCAGCTCTTCAGCTCAAGGCGAGAGCTCTACTGCTTGAGCCACAGAGCCACTTCCAGTTTTCTAGTGGTTTATTGGAGATAAGAGTCTCACGGACTTTCCTGCCCGGGCTGGCTTTGAACTGGGATCCTCAGATCTCAGCCTCCTGAGTAGTTAGGATTGCAGGTGTGAGCCACTGGTGCCCGGCTTAAAATTCTAGTATCTAATACTGGAATTAATACTAAAAGTGCTCTGCTACACCCTTGATAAACTATTTGAATTCTTCAAATTGTATTGTCTTTTCATTAGATTGTATCATGATATATAACACTAGATTGTAAAATAGTGGAGTTCTTCTATTGATGCAATAATACTGAACTAGAATATATTGAAAATGAACTGTACTAATTGACTGTGGGGTTGGGGGGAAGGGAAAGTGGGAGAAAAATGAGGGAGGAGGTAATAAGTTAGACAAGAAATTTACTCACTACCTTACATATGTAACTGCAACCCCTCTGTACATCACACTCCCAATAAAATTAAATTAAAAATTAAGAAATCAGCATGTGACGTATTTCAACGTGACTAAGAGCTGGCTTTTATAGACACATCTGGGCCTATGCAATTTATATCACTGGGAGATCATATTAGCCTCTTCCTCATCTGTGAATTAGGAATAACAATGTCATATGGAAAGAATTACTAAGAAGATTAAATATGATCATCCATGTAAAGAATTTTAGAGAACAGAATGATCCAGATACAAAAGTTTAAAGAAAGTTCCTACATTAAAAAATAGTTACATAAAATAAACCGGTACTTATTTAACCTTAAAAGTCCCAATTGGTTTGCATAAAAACTATCCAGAACAGATATACATTTTAGAAAAGACAACATGTATGCAAACAATTTAGCAGAAGAGAAACAACATAATTATGCAAAATTACTTAACATAACCAGAGTAAGAATATTAAAAAACAGCTTAGGAGGCAGAGATAAAAGTATTGAGTTCTAACCCAGCCAAAGCAAAGGAAGAGATGAGACCTTGTAAGAAAAGTACCATTAAAAAAATAGAAAAACATCCAGAGTAGAATAGTGCTTGCCTAACAGGTACAAGACCCTGAGTTGACTTACTACAACAAAAATATTAAAGAGCATAGAAATAAATATACATAATTCTTGAGATATTCAAAATAAATATGGACTTGTTTTATTTATACAAGCCAGTTTTTCTAAAATAATCAGGCAAAAATATGACATGACTTGCTACATTAAAAATAGTGTCAATTTCAAATGGGATTGCATGAAATTGCAGAGCTTCTGCAGGGCAAATGACATAGCTAGCAAGATCAATAGAAAGCCCACAGATTGGGAGAAGATCTTT